GGTGATTTTAGAATATTTAAATTCTTCTTCCCTGATTCATCAGACACTTGGGCCTCCATTGCCAATGGACAGGATACCTATTGTTGGCTGACAGGGATTATTGTTTCTTAGACCTCATCATAGCATTGTGGAATAGAAGGCAGAAGGGAGTCGTGATTCTAAATAGAACGATGTCATTATGAATGTTTTCTTTCTTTGAGCAGAAGTATAAGATTGAAGTCTAGAGTCAGAGCCTCACCATATCTGAGTTCTTAATCCAATGCCATGCACCACATGGGGCTTAGTGAACCCTTGTTGCTGCCTCAGGCAATGACATCCACGCTGATTAGCAATCTACATGGCCTATGGTTGCTCCCATATCCCCAACAGCACCAAAATCCAAACCAACCTTTCTCCTCTAAGTCAAGGGGAAGGCAACCCCAGAGAGAATGTTGGATTTACCTCTTAGTACTCCATTGCCATAGGGTTATTTGGCAGAAAAACACAACTCACTTGGAGTCGGAAGCCTGGATGCCCCACAAGAGACAATTCCAAGTGTACTCATGAGCATCAAATTTAAATGGGCCTTTGCCTTGTCCTCATTAAGTGACCATCCACTGGTCAGAAATAATAGAGGAAGACCCCCTGAGTTTTTTGGTCAGCCATGATATACACATGTCCAATGCATCATGCTTAATAAACTCGCCTCTAAAAGTAGAACATGGGGTGACCACATGCCCTGATCTAGAAGACTATTACCAGCAGGAGAGCAAAGACTGGTGTCTGTACTTCCTTTGTATTTCTCATGACAACTCATTAACATAAATTGCTGTTTGTTAATTAATCTCTTTTTAAAGATAAAACTATAAGAAACATACAGATAGAAATGCAAACTCTTTCAGAGTTAAAAAAATTTTCTGAAAAAAAAAAAATAAAAACTTTGAAAGGAACCATTTCTATATTGAGAGTAAATGTGACCACATAAAGAAGCATGAACTTGCTTGGAACTACAGTTACACTACAGGTTCCACTTTCTAGGGTGGAGTCAGCCTAAGACTTACATGTGGAATAACTCTGCTCCTTTGTTTTATGAGAATGAAAAATCCCAAACATTTATTCTAGACCATCCCAGAGACTAACAATTTTACATTTGTCCATAATAAATATGAGAAGGGTTGAAAAAATTTTACAAGCCACTTCCTTATCCAAGTCTAGTTAAAATGATGTGTTAGCAGAGATTTTACATTCTTTCATGAAAAGTAATCTAGGTACAATTTTACAATTCTGGACACCTGTGTATTGTTGTGACCTCATAAATAAGTCAGGCTGACATTTTGATATTTCTTCTGGACTACACAGTACAATCTATGAAGCAGGTGCTACTATCATCTCTATCTTACAGACAGAGAAACTGAGGCACAGAAAGATTAACCCAGCCAAAATTATAAAACTAGTACATGAAACAGCTGAGACTTGAATCCCTGGCTTCAGAGTTCATGCTCTTAGATAACGAAGTCACTCTTGTTTATTTACTCCCTGCACCACTTAGAAATGCTTTGGTGGTGTAACCAAAACACCAACTTAGAGTGGCCTTAAAAAATAGGAATTCCTTTTGCTCAGCAACAACTCTGGGAATAAGCAATTGCTGGAGGGGTTCAGTTGCTCACAATGTCCTCAGGACCAAGGCTGTTCTCTCCATGTTCCTGATCTTAGCATCCTCATGCTTATCTCATGGTCATTGCTCTTCCAGGCATCACCTCCCCACTACAGGGAGCTCAAAGTCTTGAGAGACTTTGTCTTTTCATTTGGGAAACTAAGCCTACTTCCATAGTGTTTCCCTTACATCTCGCCAGCCAAAGCAAGATCACATGCCATCCTTCAATCAACCAAAGGCCAAGCAGAAGGTTATTATGTCTGGTTCTGACTAATCATGATTTATATTTTGGGACTAGGAAAGGGCCTGAATCAGTAGGTCCTACCTAGCTCCTGAATAAATTGGACTTCTTTTAGTTGGGAAGAAGAGTGTGCTGAAAGGGGGATGACTTTGGGTGGCAATAAGCAGTGCCCACCATTCTCTCCTACTTTGGTGTTTAGGTTGCTCTTCCTTGTACATTACCCAGCTTCTGGGAAGGCATTGTGCTAGGAAGTGGGAAGAAAGATAAAAGACAATCTCTATATAATTGGTAGTCACTGAAGTCTTCATTTGAGAGAATCAATCTCATACCCGATTTTAGATAAAGACATGAAAGAATTTATATCATATATATGGCTAAGTTGGCAAGAGGCTGTCAAGAGAATCCAAGAGGCCTTACATTCACTATGAGTACACAGCAGGTAAGAGAGAACATGTCCCAACGTACCATCTTTAGACCATAAAATGACAGACAGGACAAGCTGATAGGTAGGTATGTGCTTAAAAATAGACTAGTGTGTGTATTCAGTATTTTGGAGGCATTCAGCACACAGAGTTGGTTTATACCCATACATAATTATGGTATTATCTGAATGTCTCCAAGTCTCACTTGGCACTGAATATGGATAGGATCAGGCAAGAGTAATGACTCAGATTTCACTGGCACCTGCCCCTAAAAGTCCCCTGAAAACACCCCTGCTCTGTGTTTGTGGGGGTTCCCATGGGGTTCACACATATGCATAGAGACAAATCCAATCCCTTGGGCTGTCCCCTGCTCAGATTACCAACTCTGGGACTTCCAAGTACTACATAATGGCCTGGAGCAAAGCAAAGGATGCAGCTCTCTTTCCTCTCCTCCCATTCCTTGCCTTCACTGTTAGAAGGGTCTGGAAGTAGTGCTGCTGTTAAGTTCTCTGTGTCTGAAACACAAACATGTGTTCATAGGGGTTGGCCGGGCACAGATTCAAGTGATAATGACTGATAAACTCACTATCTCTTCCCTTCCTCAAATATTACAGCTGGCTATTGCATCAGATCGTCTTGTCTGGCTCTTTCTTCCCTTAGGACAACTGACTAATCTGTTCTAGAAACTAATTCTTAGGAAATAACCAGACCCATAGCCAAAAATATGTGTAAGAAATGATTTACGGAGCTCTTTATAATGATAAAAATATCTTAAATTTTATCTGTATGAGACTGGGTAAATTAATTATAGCACATTCATTTGGAAGAGTAATATGCATCCATTTAAAACGATGAGGTAGATCTATATTTATTAAAATAGGGAGCTATTCATGAAGTGAGAAAAAGTATGATATCATTTTTGTAAAAATATAAACAGGTGCTTGTGTGAATGTATGTGCATTAATGTGTGTATACACACAAAGAAAATAGGAATTATCTTTGTGTGTCAAGATAAGGGTATTTTTACTGACTTCCTTACCTCTTTCTTGCACAGCATGAATGTTTTTACAAGAAACATGAATTATTTCCACAACCATAAAAAGATAAAGCCATATTCATTTTGCAAAATAATTATTTTAATGAAATAGCCTTTAGCAATGGATGCACTCATTAGGGTGAAAGTGTGGACGGGTATAAAACCTCCATTTAGTGAGATTATTTAATAAAAGAAAGCTCTGAACATTTGCTTAGTAATGTGGAAGAAGCTGCTGGGTAATGTGGAAGAAAATGAGTCTTGACAGAAAGATGATTAGAACCGGACATCTCCAGAAATGTACTGTGACCCTGACCGGCAGTGCAATACCCCCAACCTTGCTGCTCCTGGAAGCCTGAGAAACTGAGATTTCTGGAAGGCTCTAAAGGACACATGGAGCAAAGCAAGCACACGAGCTCTTTTCAGCTTTGCTTCATTTTTCCAAATGGTTGCTTCTCTTTTTCTAGTTGATTTGTAGGAGCTCAGAGCTTAAGAACACTTAGGCATTCGTGTTACATATTTTTTCTCTATTTGTTTGTCTTTCAGGCATCTGGTAGAATTGTATACCACACAGAGGTTCTCATGTTTATGTGATCTACTGTAACAACCCTTCTTTTATGATTCTTGGCTTTCGTATCACACTTAGAAATGCCTTTTCTAACACCAAAGACACCAAATTTTGTTTAACGTACACATTTTCATCTTTTACAATTAAATATGAAATGAATCAAGATTTATTTTTTTGTGTGGCCTGTATGAGGTAGTGATATAAATAGTTTGTCCCAATTCATTTAACTATCCAGCCTTTCCCTTATGATTAGAAATAAAATCTTTATCATATACCAAAACACAACAAATGCACAAGGGTATACACATATGAGTCCTTGGGTCTGGTTTGGACTCCTACTTTTCTGTGAGATCAGCTGCCTGCCTACCCCTGAACAATGCCATTCAGTTACAATGATTACAGCTTTAAGATGTGTTTTTATTTCCTGATAAGAGAGTCTCCCTCATTACTCTTCTTTTTCAAAAAATATATTAGCTGCTCTTAGTGATCATTCTTCTGAATAATTTCATTTTTGTCAAATTCCAAATACTCCAGTAAGATTTTATCAGAATTACATTAAATTTATAGATTAATCTGTAGAAAAAGAAGTAATATTTGCAATGGGAGCCTTCCTTTAGTCTCCATAAAGATTTCTTCATATTGTTCCTGGATATTTCTTGAGAAACTTATGAATAGTTGATTTTCTTTGTTCTCTCCTTCTTCTTCTTTCCCCTCCCACCTACTTCCCAAGTCTGGTCACAGGTATGGAATGTCCTTATCAGACTCACAGTTGTCCGACAGGTTTGTATCTGCAGCTCCCAGGCAAAGTTCCTCTTCCCACAGCCTTTACTCCTGTCTTCTTGAAGTGGCACCTTCCTCTGACCTCCACTATCTGGTTTCTGGTTTCAGAGAACGTATTCAGTCCTTCTGATTCCCAGCACACTGCTCCCAGGGCTCTTATTTATTTTCTACACAATGCTTACTTCATAGAGACTGTAACTAACATTACTTTTTTGTATTACTTTTCTTTTTCTGCACAACAAATTACCACCAACTTAAAACAACACACATTTGTTATCTCACAGTTCCCATGGGTCAGGAATCTGGGGATGACTTACCTGGGTCTCACAAGGCCGCCACAGGGAGTCAGTCGGTGGGTTGCATTTCTGTCTGGATCTTGGATCCTCTAACAAGCTCAGAGAGTTGTCAGCAGGATTTAGTTCCTTGTAGCTGTAGGATAGAGGGCCCCACTCTCTTGCTGTCACCTGGGTGCTGCTCCGCAGTTCCTTGCATGTGGCCCCTCTCAGGCCCTCTCACCACATGGGGACTTCCCACCTCAAGGCCAGCAAAGGACTCTCTCTCCCCCTGAAATATAATCACAGGGGTGACATCCATCACCTTTGCCATTCTCTGTTGGCTAGAAGCCAATCACGCTACCACCTGCACCTCAAAGGGGAGAGGATTATTCAAGGGTTTGACTCTTTGGGGTTGCTTTAGGATGTGTCTGCCACACTCACAGGTCTTTGAGCATTGCCAGCACCCCACTGCTTTCCAGGCACTTCTTTCCTGAGATTTGGGCTGTTGACCTAAATATAACAAGATGGAAATAAATAAATAAATAAATAAATAAATAAATAAATAAATAAATAAATAAATAAATAAATCTATAATAATAAAAGCATAATATGCAAATTGACCAAATGGCCAAACAGCAGAACAACCATCTGGACCACCACGCTATGACTCATACTGGCACCAGGCCAGCCAAGGCAGATGCGATGCGATTGGTCCCTCCCCACAGAGGGAGGCCCAGGCCAGTGGCCAGTGGGCTGATCAATGTGGGGGGGAAAGAGAGGGCTCAGGCCACCCTCTGTGGGGTGATCAATCGGGGGGCTCCATGAAACTGGGGAACCGAGGATGTGTGGCGGAGGACACAGGCAGCACCAGGCCAAGGCGGGTGCAGGTGGGGGACAGGTCCGCGAAGCTGGGGCCATGAAGCTGGCGGCCAGGGGAAGGAAGGCCTACCCTTGCACGAATTTCGTGCATCAGGCCTCTAGTAAATACATAAAATAAGATGGAAGCCTGAGTGGGGATAAGAGACAGAGGGACAGGGAGGAAGGAGAGGGGGAAATAGAAAGAGAGGCACTCCACTCCCCATACAGCACTAAAGTTTTCTGTTTGATACATGCTCCAGGTCTCCAAATCGTGAAGGCAAAGTAGAAGTATGACAGAAGCTAAAAGCTACATTGGTTATTCTTGGTCCTCTTCACCTGCTTTGCAATTGTCAGTTCCTTCATAATTCTGGAATTAGGTGGTTAGTTACTTTTCTTTTTTCTTTTTTTTTAATATATATGTGTATTGCTTTCAGGAGGAAGGGAGAGGGAGGGAGAAATAGAAACATCAGTGATAAGAGAGAATCACTGATTGGCTGCCTCTTGCATACCCCACAACAGGGATCCAGTCCACAACTCAGGCATGTACCCTGACTGGGAATCGAACCGTGACCTCCTGGTTCATGGGTCAATGCTCAACCACTGAGCCACACTGGCAGGGCATTGGTTAGTTACTCTTCAATGTCATAATTTTTTATGTTTTTGTATCTATGCTAGCAAGAAGGCAGGGGAAACTGCTAGTTTCATGATGCTTTGAACCAGAAATCTTAACCAAGCCAGTTCCCAGCAGGCTTCCACTCTGTGTTCTTGAGATGCTGCTGCTGCCTGATTTCTGGGTGTTTGGGGAGCAAGGTGAAGGGTGAATGCAACACATTGGATAGGAAGCTCCCTGGGTTTATTGTGAAACCTCAGGGAAATCAAAGAGACAGCTGGTCTGTGTCTCAGGAAGCTCTGGGTGTCAGAAACATATCTGGATGACTGACGGTCATTTCATCTTCAAATAACCCAGAGAAGGAGGTGTTGTTAACCCACTCTGCGGAAGAGGCTAGATGAATAACTTCCCCAAAGTCACAAATCTGTAAGCGACAGCGCCTGACTCCAGAGCTCTTTCTGGCATGCCATGCTCTCAGGGTATGGGGACATCTCAAACGGGGACTCTCTAGTCTGCCAAACTTGTCCCACATCTCCCTGAAGCAAGGCCACACTAAAGAGGACATAAGCAAGTCATAGTTAGACTTCCACCCTGGCTCCTGTCAGATAGGTCCTTAAGGGGCAGTACAGCTGGTAAGTTTTAAAGAGCAAATGGTAAACAAAGCAGTATGCCCCCATGCCCCTATGCCCTCATGCCCCCAGGTCTCCACAACAATGTACAGCTCCTACTGACCACAAACCCATTCCTGCTGACTGCCAGAGCTACATGCCTGACTGATAACTGAGTGCAAGTAATTACTGAAACTAACCCCGCACATACCTAAGTGTTTATCAATTATCAAAGGTCAATATCTCAGGCATAGTAGCCTTATTAGGCCCAAGATTTAGGCCTGCCTTGAGGCCATTTCCGCAGCAATCTTGGGCAAGTCACAAAATCTTGCCAATAATCCATTTCCTCTAGAACAGTAGTTCCCAAAGTGGTCCCCTGGCCAGCAGCATCAGTATCATCTAGGAATTTCTTAGGAATGCACATTTTTCAGCTTTACCCCAGGCCCACTGAATCAGAAACTCCGGGGATGGAGCCCAGCCATGTTTTACCAAGTCCTGGTCATTCTGATGCACACTAATGCGAAGGGCTCTGCTCCAGTACCTCCCAGAGCTGTGAGAACTAAATAGCATGCTAGGTTCTGTTCTGTCACCATGTGTGTTTCCGTAGCATGGATTACTCCATCACTGATGGGTACCAGAGGAATGATGTCAGTGTGATGTGAAAATGGCACATTAGACTGCACATAATTGCACATTAAAATTTCACATTGTGATGTGAAAATTGCACCTAGATTTTTATCATATCATGGGTGGGTTTTCCTAAGCAAGGGGAGCAAGAATGGCAGGACTGGAATCCTAACCTTCATTGGAAATGGAAAAGGCCTGAGGCTCAGCCGCTGCACCATCAGCAGGAAGCCTTTCGCTGTATAATCCAGAAAACGTTAAAATGAGCACCTGTATCCGCTGGCTCCCTCCGCCAATAGGTGCACTCCAGCCTCGTGAGCTCCCAGCTTGTGTAAGGTTGCCCTCCCTGCCTCCTGTGCCCACTGACTCAGAGCTCCATTTCCGCCCCTGCCAGCCTGGGGCTGATTAAACAGTTACCAGCTTCTCAGCTCTATTGCTTTTGTGCACACTAATACCCCCTATAGCAGCTTCAGCTGCTGCCAGCATCGTCTAAGTGACCTCCCCAGGTAACTGTGATTATTGTGGTTGATCAGAGTTGCATGACATTTGAATGCTCTATTTGGGCCGTATTTTCCCCTTATATCCTATTATTGTTTTATACCACGTTTTGCAGACAGCAAGATTTTCTGGGAAGTGTTGTTTTGTGTTACAGCAAAAAAAAAAAAAAAAAAAGCCTGTATATGTGAAGTCCCTGGCACACAGTAAAACCTTAATAATCCTTCGTACTAGTCCAGGTCTACCATACTTTGTCCTTGAAATGCTGACAACGGAGCCAAGAAAACCCGACAGTGACAATTCCAATGCAAAGGAGCCCGTGAGAATTCTGATAATGAAAGGGTGACATTCTACCCTCTCTGGCCAATAGTTTTAATGACATTCGTTTGGAGCAATGATTCATTGGAGCAATCCTTCTGATTTCTTTTTGTTTTTCTATTTCTAGTTTAAGCAGCTTTTTCGAAGAATGGGGCTATTTTATCCACTTCTGTGTACTTAAATCCTTAATTATTTTCAATCTTTTTCTTTGAGACTTTAGAAGATTGCGCACTAATTCTTAGAGAGAAACAGCCAAGTGGGGAGTAATTATCTTGGCCACAAATCTCTGATGTTTACAGAGTATGGCACTCAGACCTGAAATCTCCCATCACCCTTGCTGGCAGGGCCCAGTTCGGTCTCCTCCGCTGACAAGAATGGGAATTGAGGTCTGGCTCAAGGTCTAACAGCAAGATGCTCTGGCCATGAAAGCCAGCCAGGTGTCCTGGCTCCTCACCCAGCATTCTGTCTCTTAGTGTTTACTCGGTAGTCATGCCCTGCCTTATGAGGTCACTTCCAAATTGTTTCCTTAAACGTGGGGTCTGTAGGTCAAATTCAGGCCACAGCCATGTTTTGTTTGCCCATGTAGGACCTTAAAAATTGGAAATTTTCACATTAAAAATTATTTCTAGCTTCACTTGAAAATTCAGAACATCTGGCAACACAGAGCTAATATCCACATATGGCAACAGCTAAGCTGAAGAATACCTTCCCCTTTCAGCCAGGACAAGCTCATCCAAAACTGCCACAGGCTCTCTCCCTCCTCCACTCCCCGGCCTATCATCTTACACACACACACACACACACACACACACACACACACACACACCTGTCCACACAAGCACACACATTCCGTATTAGCTGCTAGGGCTGCCATAGCAAAGTATCACAGACTGGGTGGCTTAAACAACACAAATTTATTTTCTCACAATTCTGGGAGTCCAAGATCAAGGTATCAGCAGGGTTGGTTTCTTCTAATCCCTCTGTTTTTGGATTAGGTCCCACCCTAATGACCTCATATTAACTCAGTTTCCTCTTTAAAGACCCTGTCTCCAAATCCAGTCACATCCTGAGGTGCTAGGGGTTAGTATTTCAATATGAATTGGTGAGGGGGCCTCACCTCAACCCATAACATATTCTTCCCTCCTTTTAGATGACCTGCTTGGCCCCCAAGGCACTGGAATCTGCAGCTGTGACAAGCAGTGGCAAACTTTGGCTTGCTTTTTAACTTTGCACAGCTTTATGTCAATTACACAACCCCCATATAAAGTACATTAATAATAAAATCCATAAAGTACTTAAAATCCAGAAAGGGCCTCAGTGATGATTTACACCAGTTTTCAAACAAGTTACAGAACCTTCTAACAACCCTAGTGAACAAGGAGCCGATATATAAAATAGCTATGCTTTGTTCCTATTCTCCAAAATGGCTCCTGAGGGAGCTCCAGAGATACTAGGCCTCCCTGTGTGACACGTGACTTGAACACTGCTGATCTAATTCAAATTTCCAGTTTATGTATGAGAAACCCGAGGCCCATCCACATGCCCAAGACCACAGAGATCTGAGTACCAAGTAGGACCAGATGCCATGCCTCCTGACTTCCATGGTTCCTTCTCTCTGTGCAACTCAAGCAAGGTCATGGCATCAGACCATTGAATAATGTCTCTAAGAAAGAGAAATCCTGCTATTTTATTGGTGGAAGTTGTAGCCTGAAGCCTAGGTCTGGGAGTCAGGAAACCCAAAACTGTGCTTTGCCAGGACTGGCTGCACAACCCCAAGGACAAAGGCTTGACCCCTCTGCTCCTCTTCAGGAACAGCACACTAGGACTAGAGTCCATGGGCTTTCATGTCCCTTCCTATGTCAAAATGCTAGGACTCCAGAATGTTACACTGACAGTGATGCTGCTCCTCTTCACTTTTCATCTATTGGCACAAAAGGATTTCATGATAACTTCTTGCCCCAGAGGTAAAGGATCCAGTAATGGACAGGCTCACCCTT